GTAATGGTTCCTTGGGTGGACTGTACTTGTTTGGGAGAGACAATTTCTGCTCTGCATTAAAGAAACAGTAAAGATAATTTACATGTCAACACCGTTAACTATTTCAGCAGTAGGGAGGAGATAAAGCCACAGATCTGCTCAATTAACCGTGAGCAATGTCTCATTTTGGTGCCACAGTTAAATGATATTTGGAGTTACCTCGATTTCTGTGTTTCCCAAGAAAGAAGTCCAGTGCAACTCAAAACATATTCAAGCCAAATCTAGATGCCCGGGGAAGCAAAGCAGCAACACAACCTACTGCCTTTTCATGACCCATGTGAACAGGGTTCATTTTGGGAGTGGGTCTTAAAATAGAGCCATCAACTCGTCCGTCGACTCCACTGCTGTCAGAACAGCTTTGCTTTGTTAAACCTTCCTAAAACATTCAGCACCTATGCGGAAATGAAGTTCACAGCTCCCCGCTGCTGCTCACCTAGACTGCCGGCTCTTCTCCCAGCAGCATGACTACTCTGTTTGCCTGCTGCTCTCCTCAGATCTTGTCAGACTCGTTTCCTGAGCCAGTTCAAATAACTAATCTAGGAGAAAAGGGATCCAGGTAAAAAAAGGAGGTGTCTAGTCTTTTACTGGGAAAGTGGTCTGAACAAAGAATGTAACAGCATGCCACATATATCAGAAACAATTCAAAGGTAGGGGCAGAACACACTTTTGAGAGTGATGGAAGTGTGGAGTTAGTTTGTAAAAATTATCTTTCTACTGTGCAGAGCCCATTAAGATTTAAGGTTCTCCCTTTTGTTTATATCACCTGCCCAAAACTAGTTCTGCTTTTAGTTCAGTAACAGGGTGGTTATTTTATTATTTGTTGGCGAGTGAACTCTAACATGGTCTAAATTTCTGATACAGACAAGGCACAGTCCACACAAAAGATGCTATTAGAGAGTGATCGGTGATGGTGGGAAAAGCAATCTGAATATTCAAAAGAAACTGATGTCAGTAAGAAGGAAAGATTTTGAGGAACTTGGAAATATTCTAATCTAGCCACTGTGGAAGAGTAATTTAGGATCATAAATGATACTGATTCACAGAATTATGTGGATTTTGTAGCAACACTGGCATAAAGCATTCCGCTCCTGCCACTGACTGTTGCACCCACACCACAGTAGCCCACTGAGGCAGGTGAGACATATGGTGTGTTTTAAAGACCACAAATGCAGGTCTTGTCAGGTGTTCCAAAAAGCTGCATTTGTTCACTGAGCTGCTTCACAGGAATGGGGTTGTATTTCCTAACCACTTCATATCACAAAAATACAACCTTGCAATCAAGACAAAGTCATCACTAATGTTAGACAGCAGGTCACAGTGGTGCATTCCTTACATGAAAGGTTTTATGTCAAAGTACTTTAAGATGACCAAACATAATTTCTGGCGAAACAAAACCACAGAATATTGGTTCTTCTGTCCCTATGTAGCCAGAGAGACGTTCCACTTGTCAGTTAAGGTAGCTACAGACCATTGATTTCTTTACCTCCAGCCTTGCTTTCCAAAACAGTCTTTGCCTGCTGCTGAAGCAAGAGTTAAAAAGAAGTTCAAGGCTAATACAACCTTTAAGTAACAACCAGTTCAGCTTTGGGAAATTTTCCAACTCCTATTTGCTTTTAAAAAGTATTGTTCACATTTTCGGTGCTTTTGTCATCTTTCTTTGTTCCGTTCCTGTTTATTTGTACCTCCACCTTCTTGCCTGCCCCAACCCAGGTGTTCCAGTTCCTCAAGTGAAACAGTGCACACTTTCTGCTCTCCCTGCGCCAAGTCTTTGCATGAAAAAACACATAACAAAGTGCATGCAGGCTTCATCCAGGCAAAGCTTTTCAAATCCTGCTGCCCATGTTACAGCAGGGGCCCCTAGCACCTCTAGCTGGTTCTCTGCACTCCTCAGAGCCTCATCAAAGCACTGCCTCCGGGGGTCTTCCCCTCATTTCCCTAATACCTGCATCTTCTGCTTGCTAAGGCACCTCCTGAGACAACTGGCTCTTGCCCTACAGCCTTGCCCTCCGTAGCTCCCATCCAGAGCTGCCGTGTCCAAACTGCTGAGCCTGCGCTCTGGCACAAAAGGAAGCACCACCAGGCCTCCAGCACCATGGCAGCAGCTTGGCTCACCCTGGGCCAGGAGAGGGAAGAGCACAGAGCAGGAGGTTGCAGGTTTTTGTGTGCGCTAAAGGCAGCCCAGCTCCAGCTGCAACCTTTCTTCCCATTCATCTCTTTCCCAACCACCCTGAGGGTGGGGGGTAGAACTGTGAAACCCTTCACAAAACTGCCAGAAAAAGAAATTTCTGAGTAGGAGGTAGGAAGTAGGGAGTTGGAGAATGAGAGAGTGAAAATGAGGAGGGAAAAGACCAAGGCTGGACAGAATATTCACAGCCTTCCTGCATCCTTGTCTGGGGAGCCACTCCTTCCCACCCTGTCCAATATGAGCATCTGCCAGCATCACAGGCAGAGTAAAAACAGAGCTTTGTGTTTGCCATTTTAACATCATATTTAATGTTTCTCACCATTTTCTCTGCCTGCAGCCACTTGAAAGCAAAGGCTTTTCCTGTAAGCCATGTTATATCCTAATTTCAATTTACTATGCTACTTACTGTGATATGCTCTCCAGACAGCTGCTTTTCCCTCTTCTCTTTTCCCACTTCTCTTTCCCCCTCTCCCAGGACATGCATATTATTTTCTCTCCCTCTTTAAAGCTTCCTTAAATATTAGTTAGGCCTCCCTGGGGAGGTGATACCCTCACCCAGCAGAAGTGCAAGACTAAAATACACAGAAGATCAATGTCTTGCTGGGAATACGCATTGTTGCCCTCAGCAAGACAGTGGCTTGGCACTTAAAAGATGTCTACAAGATTTGTTATCACTTTGTCATAATCATTTCCCTTTTCTTAGTAGAAGAATGTCCTTTTAAAACGGTCCCAAGTCAGAATTAAAAAACCGAAATGGGAATATTATGGAGTTTTCACTAAGCTAGCAAAATAATAATTCTGTGCTGGGTAAGTCAAATGGAAATCACTCACCTGGAAAAGACAATTGTTTATGAAAAGTCAAGAGAAATACTCCTTTTAACAATAAATGCTATCTACTGAACACATCTTTGGTACAAAGTCACTAAATTTAAGGGAATCAGACCCCTGTATTTCTTCACAGTTTAGAGGAGAGATGCCGCCACAAGATTTGAGACTATAAAGGTGAATGCCAGGAAATGTATCAGTAATTAATCTTCCTTCCTTTTCTCCCACATTACAATATACCCTAGTTCTTCTGTGTCAGCTATCTTTGTGATGCTGACAACAAACTTCTCCCTTGGTTATATTTACTAGCTCCTGCAGAACATTAACAAAATGTCACGCTTTTCCTGAGAACACTGCTAACAGTTAATTACTCACGATAACTACTAAACGATTGAAGTGTTTGCTTTACTAGGCTCTACAAGATACATTTTAAATGCCTCAGGATAAGCTAGTTGCAATGAGAAGTTTGTTGTTTGTTTTGGGGGTTTTTTTCAAACAATTCTACAGTTTGGATGCTGTGGTATGCAATTAGGCAGATAGGTTTAGCCTGGTGATCATGAAAAATCTGAACAGACTATTCCCATTTCCCCCACAAATCTACTTTTAAAGCAAAGAACTATGGATGTATTTCTTGTTAGAAATAGTGGATATTAACTTAAAAAACCCCTTTGTAAGTCAAAATGAATAGTATATACCCCTATTTTTCCAGCCCTCTGTGCAATATTTTTCACCCCATGACTGCCATTAGCATTGCTAGAGATCACAAAATTCTCCTGTGCCCTGCAGAAAGTTACCCTTGTGGGGCAACACTTCACAACCCTTATTCTGTGAGTCGCTAGTCCCACCCTACAAGACATCCATCCCATTGAGATCAGAGGTGTGAGTAAGACAAGCTTGGCTCTCCTTTATGTTAAAGACAAAACCTACAGCAAAATCGCCAACTCCTTACTGTTATAGTTCAAAATGTATTTTCAAGTCTGTCTATTGATGTTATAAAATGTTCACAGTATATAATATTTCCTGTAATATCTATCAAACTTTAATAATTTCTTAACATGAGGAGCCTTGTTCCTGCCTTCCTAAATTTATCAAAACTCACACACATCCTCATCAGATGCTATTCCTGTTTTTAAATGCAGAAACTGAAGTAGAAAGACCAAATGATTTGCCCACAGTTATTCATTAAATCAATTGCAGAGCTGGTGTTGGAAAATCAGACCTTCCTGGGTCCCAAAAAAAAAAATGTTCTAATTGCAAATCATGATGACCTGCCTATGTATGAATGAGAAAACCATGCAGATGTAGGAAGTGACTTTAATCTGTGAAACAAACTGAAGCCAGCCTTTCTCCTGGGAGTTTTCAAATCACAGAAGTTTCCTGGTAAAACTATTAATCCCTTATATTTCAAAGAAAATGCTGTGTGCTGCTGTACTAAATCGAGGTAAAATTAATACAAACAGAATTTTCAGTGCAGTAGAAATACAGTTAACACAAACCTTAGTCTGGTCACCAGGCTATAAACTGGTGCAATGAAAACAGATCAGAGCAAAGAACTTGTCAGGCATCAGTACAGTTCCCAGTAGTTCACCCTGAACTATTTATGTAGAATTATATTTGCAATGCCCTTGCTAGATGCATCTCCAGGGTAATTAGATGCAAAAGGCTTTTTTTTTTTTTTGGCTACTTCAGTGTTTTCTGAAAGGGCAAAAGCAATTGCTTCTTTCCTTCTTCTGCCACTCATCACCTGGTGTAAAACCCATAGACCACACACAGAAATAACAGAGCACTATGCAAGAAGCACGTATATGACAGTATGAGTAGGACTTCTAGCACCCAAGGGGAGTGCTGGATGTTGTGTCTTTTCACACCACGGTGTGCAGTCTGATATGCCATTCCCAGAGGGGCAGTTGCCTGGTAGAGCCAAATATTCATATTAAATCCCACTGCAAACCTCCTCTCAGGAGATGGGGTTGGTGATGGCCTCTCAACCAGCTTCCAAAGTGATCACTGTTGAACAGTGTGAGCTGCTCCTTCTCGTAGGCCCTGTGCAAATGTTAGGGAGTAGCTGGAAGAAAAATCAAGTACTTAGTTAGAAGGCTATATTGATTGGTAAAATTAAACCTGATGTCTCTGAAAATTCCTTGCAAAAAGATTAATATTAAAATTAATCTGATCTTTTAATAGACACCAGAAGCTAGTAGGCAATAAGAACAGGGGACATAGAAGTAAAGACATAGAACGGGGGAAATTAAAAATATTAAAATATTTTTCCCCAGTGAAAAGCAAACATTTATATTTTTGCTCTTCAGTTTAGTTGTAAAACCTTTGTTCTTATATTCTGAGAGTGTCAAGGAAGTAATCAGGTGAGTTTAATTTACATTCTTTCTACTTTTTCTTTCTTTTTTTTTTAATGTTTTATATCTCTGTCAGGTATTTGGCTGCCTCTCTAAAAAAGTTCTGTTCTTTTTGCTCTATCATTCAGAAATCCCTCCATAATAACCACTTGAATTTCATCTATTTCTGCTACACTTTGCAATATAATAAAGTGAGGTTTGCAGGAGGAGGTAATGTCTCTTATTAGAACAAGCATTGGGGATGGGAAAAACACCCAAGCTTTCACATATAAAAGACAGGAATCCTTTTTGATGTAGACATTATTTAAACTGAGCAAAGGCTCCCAGGTGAGTATCAATGAGCTAAAGAAGGAATTAAAATATGTTTGTTTATTGAGAAGCCTCGAATTACATTTTATTTCAGAAAGTTTGTATTTAAGCAAGACTTCACAAAAGCGTTAAGTAGTGTGAACTTTACCAACACTTTTTGTTAAACGCTTAATCCACGCCCACATCAAAACAAAGACAGACGGCTGAGCTCTTTACATATGAGAAGGTGACTTTTCACACATAGCCTTAACAGTAAACCTTTTGGTTTTGTTTTTTCTTTCACGGAAATACAAAGCTCCAAGATAATAAAGTTTCCTTAATTTACATTTCTCCCAAGAAGTGGAAATTACAAAACTACAGACAACAAACATTGGCTAATCAGTCTAGGGAAAAAGGTCCAAAGGGAAAACTCAGAAATGGGTTTGTTTAAAAGCTACAACGGGCAGAAAGGACCTTGAGCTATGAATGCTTTTGTATTGCTAATCTACCTAATGTTCTATTGAAAAAAAAAAAAAGAAAAAGAAATCCTTGAATGAACGATTCTGACTTTGTTCTAGTGTGAATTGAGTAGCTGTTTCTTGAAAAAAATCCAGTACTCGGTCTGTATTTAAACAAGTCTTCCTGAAGACCTTTTCTCAAACAAGTCTTTATACGGGAAAAACAACTGTTGATTTTGTAGTCATCGTGTGAGTAACTTTTATTACAGTCAGCAGGGCCTGTGAGATTTTTTTTTGAACCTGTAACTCTTAATCAGGATAGCTGTCAGCTGTAGAGCCTGAGGAAGCTGTCATACAGACAATATTCAAATGGAGTTGTGTTTTTCCCACAGTGTTGTTGAAAGGAAACCCTTTTGTTAAGCAAAGCCTGAGAGACATTAGTAACCTGAAATGGAAACAAATAGAGTGAAGGAGGGTCTCCCAACCTGATAAACACTTTCCAAGTGCAATGTGTCTCCAGAGCTGAAACTACACACTACCAACGATTCTTAAATCTCTTTCCCAAATACGGGTTAGAAGTGTTAAGAATTTGTGGGAAAGTTTTCCTTTAGTGTAAACCACGGCTTGATGTTTATTCATATGCTGTAGTAAGCAAATGAGAAACTAAGCACTTTGTAAATGGTGCATCATTTTGACTACTTGATCCACTCTACTGACAGAACAGTTTGGCATAATTGCTGGCATACATAATATTTTCAAATGACAATTCTCCAAACAAGTCAGGGCCTGAGCTAGCAGCAGTGAAAGGTGAAGAGAAGCTGCCTACATGTTGGGCTGAATTCTGGATTATTAAGTGCCACCGACAATTAAGACTTATAGTTGATATTGTCCACAACATAAATGCATTCCTCTACCTTCAATACTTCCAGTTCCAGAGAATGCACCGTGGTGTATCTATCTTCAGCTGTTGCTTTAGATGTGAAAGCTAATTTCTCTGCTATACCCTTTCCCTGCCATTTGACCACAACTGTTTTGAAACAGGCCCAAAAGCCCTTCAGTGCTGCCTATTCGTGCAGTTTTGATTTGACATCATTAGTACCACTCATGCTGTTGCTTCTGAGTCATGCCAGGAGTGGGACAGCTTCAGCTCCACGTTGCTGTGTATCTTCCCTAGTAAGTGAGGCAGGATTGCCTTGGGAATGAGAAAAACCCTTCATCAAGAGTGACTGGCGGAAAACCGTGAACAGGACTTTAAAGAAATTCAAGAGACAAGGAAGTATTGCCAGTAACAAAGGTTTAGGGCTTTCAGCAACCTTTCAGTATTACACTGACACTGATGTGCAATACTGATGTATTACACCACATTACACTGATGTAACCTTTCAGTATGACACTGTCGTGGGATTAGGATGGAGATCTTAAATTTGCAAACATGCCTATTTTGTTTTGGCATCTTAGTGTTTGGCTATCAAATTCCCAACAACTATCTGCCACTACAATTAAAGAGCATCTTTTGTAGAAGCAGTCAGACAAGCAAAGATATGGTGACAGCAAGAAGACTGAGGGCAAGAGGGACCCACAGAGCAAGGTAGTGGCCAATATATGTGTAGTGCCTGCAGATATGCCAGCTCAGAAAAAAACTACAGCTGAGTTTCAGCTGTGAGCAGCCTGTAAGGGCTGGAGCAGCAATGTGCAACTGGTCAGAGTGCCTGCAGGGAAGAGTTGTACAGACAGAGAAAAAAAGATACCTGTCTGTAAAAAGGAGCCTGCACAGCACAAATTATGAACTGTTCCTAACATATCTGTTTACACCTGTTTATTATTTCAGAATAAAAGCTCAGTATTGAAAGTATTTTCCCTGCTGCCAGAAGGAAGCACTTTTCTTTTTCATCCTAAATCTTCTAAAGGTGTAATGCCAATAAAATTTATCAACACTGCTGCATAAAACAGGTTCTGAAACCTTAATTATTTTTCCATAGTAGGAGAAGATCCAGTTTTCCTATCCTGTAATGCTATTTGGAACAAGAAGACCTTGTCATTGGTAATATTATAATACCACATAAAATATAATTTTAGGTCCTTTGAATGTTTGGCCTGTATTATGTAGGTCAACCAGGTAGTTACTATCAGTGCTGTCTGCTCTGCCTCATCAAACTGCATGTTGTGTTGCTGAGATGATCCCAGGGAGTTTGTCATAGCCTCATTCTCTGGTTGATGGCATCATAGATTGCCTTCCCAGCAAATCCTGTGGCATATAGCTATGTTTTTCTTTCCAGAACTAAGTTTCTGACAGAGAACCACAAACAACCTATTAATTCTCAGAAAAACCCATGCCCAGTCTTCCACCTCAGTGATTTACTTCTTGTAATCATGTCCTATTTTCAAGGCACTCTTCATAAGGAGAAAACCCAGAAATATTTAAAAATATCTTTCATCTTCCATGGAGAGGATAGGCAACAGCAGGCTTTGGGAATCTACAAAATGCTAGTCTTTACTTCCAGCTGATACTTTATCTTCTACTCTGATGACTAGCAAAGATAATAGCTGTGATGCTAGTTATAATGATTTTTGCTGTCAGGCCAAAAAAGCTTCCACAGCAGCACATCCAGTTTGCAGACCAATATAATCTAATCAATAATACATGAAAAAGATACCTATATAGCTAAAAAAGGCTAGGACTGACAACTTTCTAGAGATATGTTCAGGACTGTATTTTTTCTTCCCCAAATTACACTTTAGGATCACGCTAAGCAGCCCTTTCTCTCAAATACAGTTAACATGCCACTGATGGTGATGCCTTGCCTTCTGGAAAGGCACTACCAGCACCCCTATACACAAATCACAGCATATTCACACCCTCTTTGTTAACTGAAGATCCACTGTGACTCTTGTGATTTAAGTAAAACAGAGGAATCAATGGGATGCACACGGAGTGAGGGTGCTCCAGATGAGCAGCTACTTGTTACCATTTTGGAACCTCCCACTTAAGCAATAATACACCTCTCTCCTCCTTGTGGTTAGCAAGCTAAAGGCACAGTCTGAGACTGAGAGCCCTTTCTTTTACCACAGTGGTGGAATTCTGGTTTTAGGCTGAACTGCTCTCCTCATGTCAGCTGCGATTATTTTGTGACAAGGCCCATTGTGGGGAAGGTAAAGGATAGGAATGTTGCATTAATATATAAGAGATTTTTCCTTTACCATTAAGAGTTTTGGAAAGCTGAAGAGTTATTGAACTTCTTAAGAATAACTAATAAAATTTCTCTGTATCCTTTGTCCTAATAGAAACAAAATCATTATGGATCACAGTGTCTCTGTGCATATCTTTGTCCCAGCCCGAATACCTTTTGAATCCATGGGGCAACTGCAGCTAGATTTGATAAAGCACAGAGGTCTCAAAGCAATTTGATTCCTACTAAGTTTTAAGCAAAAAGGGAATGCAAAAAGGACAAAAAAATATCTCTATATGTATACCTGTCAGGTATGTACCAGGGAAAAGCAGATGCATAAAATTATTAAACATCTTGGAATCCACAGGGTCCTCCTTTGTGGATATTGTCCTGAGACTTTGCCTCCACTGTGAGGAAAACAAAACTCAGGCAGATTTTGCACATTCTTGGACACGATGTCAAACAACAAGAAGATGCAAACCGACAGGAAAACTAATCCCAGCATTCAGCTGAATACATCCCCAGACCCGACCATCTCATTCCAGCACTTGGCCTAAATAACATTGTTTTCGTGGGTTTTGACCTTGAATGGTCAGGTTTATCTTACTGGGTTCCCTTTGGCCTTGGCACACCAGCTTTCTGAATTCATTTCCAAATCCAGTACGTGATGACTCCGTTTGTACTGGCCCATCATACCCTGACTTAACATCCGAATGGGGCAACACTGGTGAACCATTTAGAATGCTATAGTACATTGCTGCAAGGGTCAGCTGAATTTAACCCTTGCTTTTAATGTGATGGCACATTAGCTCAGAGAATTCACAAGCAGATATTACTGTCTGTTGGCTCATTCTTATTGTCTTTATCCTAAGCATTTGTGATTGGCTGCTGTTGCTCCAAAATGGAAGTTAGGCTACACAGATTTGTCTGTCTTCATGTGAGTAATTCTTATGTTTGGGTATTCTAACTATGTTCTAAATTACTTCCTGGGTCTTCATCAACCTGTAGTTGTAGCATCACTGTCCAGAGTTTGTGTCATAAGCTCTGTCCAGCTCTGGGGCCTCCAACATAAGAAGGACATGGACCTGTTGGAGTGAGCCCAGAGGAAGGTGACAAAGATGGTCAGAGGGCTGGAGCTTCTCTCTTATGGAGAGAGGCTGAGAGAGCCAGGCTTGTTCAGCAGGGAGAAGGCTCTGGGAGACCTCATTGTGGCCCTCCAGCACCTAAAAGGGGCCTATAAAAAAGATGGAGAGCAACTTTTTACACTGGCAGCTAGTGACAGGACAAGGGTTTTAAACTAAAAGAGCAGAGATTTAGATAGGATGTAGGAAGAAATTCTTTACTGAGAGGGCGGTGAGACACCGGAACAGGTTGCCCAGAGAAGTTGTGGATGCCCCATCCCTGAAAGCCTTCAAGGCCAGGTTGGATGGTGCCTGGGCAACCTGGTCTAGTGGGTGGCATCCCTGTCCAAAGATGAAGGGTTGGAACTAGATAATCTTTAAGGTCCCCATTCTATACATCATTGATACATGGTTGGAAAAAAATAGCATCACTGTATGTAATGGTGGAGATTAAAAGAGAAGCACCTTTCCAGAATGTCACTGTTTTTAAATGACCTAGCCTTTGAGCTAATATTTGTTACTAGCATAAAGTGATTAGAAGTTTCCATTAATACCTCTCTTCCTTTTAAAATCTAGCTCATACAAGCAAGTAGAAGCTTTTAATAAGGCAAGGCAACAAAACGTGGACAAAGCATGGACACCACTGCAGGACTGCAGGGCAAAAGCAAATAGTGCAGCTATTCTGGAATGGTGGTGTCAGCCTGGAATGACTCCCTACTGTGACATTTTTATTCCACAAAATCATTGATTTATTTTGGATGACAGTGCACATATGCACAATTACCCTGAAGAGCTATTCTGGCCAACAACACTAAGCAGGCAAGTATGGAGTGTGATTTTCAGAGCCATAGGCAGTTTTATTGCTGTCTGGGTCACTCCAAAATCTGTGGGAAGATGATGGTTTAAATGTCTCAAATCCCAACACACAAGCTCAAGTCTGTAGCTAGAGCAGCATGAAGTATTTCCATTTATATTAGCAGAATTTTATTTCAGCTTATTTAAAAACATAAAACTCCTTCTTAAAACCTATTAGTTTTAAATGTAGATTAAAACCAAGAGAAAATAAACTGGAAAATATTCACAGATTTTCCTCTTCATATTTTAACTAGCTAAAGAATTAACTGAATTTTGATGAACTTCAGTTAACATTTCATACTGAAAACAAAAGTGATTGTATCTATGCATGTATGATATAAAGTTTCAAGATAACTTAATCTGACAATTTTTAAAAGCAGTTCTGTGAGCCTAGAACAATATTCAGCCACTGAGCCACAGAACTGCAGGAACTTGTGGAATTCAAGATCTCTCTGGGTGGCTTCCAGGAGGTCACAGACAGATAAGGAATTAAAACCAGCAAATGAAACTTTGCTAGCCAGATAGCTGCACAGCCATAAGGAATGTTTTGTGAGTCTGCAAACAGAGAGGCTCATCTCAACTGTTATCAACAATTAAAGAGGAGCCATCTGTGCCTGTACAAAGTCCATGGACAGAAATATCTAGAGAAGTTTGCAAAGTCACTGTAGTGTGTTAGCCTTGAATCCTACCAGTATCAATCAGTATTTTAAAGACCTTGTCATTACTACAGTTATCAGTTTTAGTTGGGACATAACAAAATTTTTTGCTGCTTACTCAGGAAAATGAACATGCTGGACTTTAACTTAAGGGGTTTATTCTTTATAACTTCTAACACCATGCAGACAAGGAGTTTTAAAAGCTACATGATTAAGTTGAGAGTGAAGGGATAAAACAGACAGAAAAATACCTGTCATAAAGAACCTACACGCTCATGTTGTTCTATATTCATATTCTTCTCAGAGGCCACAGGTGCATTTATACCAGAATTTCTGTGACTAACAAACAAGTTTCATCTCTTTCATAAATATGTCTTAATTGGTTTTGAAAAAATTAAATAAACAGAAAAAGTAGTAGTAGATGTGAATGCAACAGCTAGGTATATACTCCTCTGTACTTGGGTACATTTTCAGAGGTACTGAGCTTTAACTTCAAAACACTGTAGAATAGTTACATTTTTTCCATTAGCTGTGGCACACAACCAAACCTCAGCAGTAAGGTTAAACCTGTGATAGCCAAGCAGATATCCAATATTTTCAGATGCACAAACGGATTAAAAATAACCTCAAGAAGTTCTTATAAACAAGCAAACAAACAAACAAACAAAAGCTATGAGAATAGTGAAAGTGGATTTTGCACAGGATTAACAGCTTAGAAAGGCTAAGAGTGAAAAGCATATTAATTCTAATGTAGCTGAGAAGTCTGTCTCCTATTCAGCAAATCATTTAAAAAGCCTGTCTGGGATTTACTGAAGCTAATGAGATTTAAAATGCTTAACTTTACAGTCAGATTCGTATTGTTTTCTGAATTGGCATCCTTGATAGCGAGGGAATTTGTTTTAAAAGGAGAGAAACAAAGCATACAATCTTCATGGGTGTAAATCCTGTTTGCAGCTTACCTTTCACTGAACTGAATAAATTGCAGAATAATCCAAACCTTATTTGTGCATTTATTGAAAGTGAGCAGTGGTATCAAAACACATACCTATAGACAGAAATAGTTGTCAGGTCGTTTAGCTGCGTCATGCAGAACTCATATATACATACCTACACAGCTATTTTCATTCTGATAAACATTCTTTGAAACTGCATGTTTGTGGGATGAGAAGAGACCTTGGGACTTCTGATTCCAAACACATAAAAAAGCCACTCGACTTTGTTCCCAGTTTCATGCAACCACAGAAAGAGCAATTGCTAATAATATATTATCCTAAAATCTCTCTTGCAGCCACTTTGTGGTATTTCTGTCTCCACAGGACTTAGATACTGTTTTAAGAAAAGTCTTAGCTATTCTGGTTCTAAAAAAAGTCACCACAATATAAAACAGTCCTCTGTATTTTTGGTTGTTTCCAGACTTGTTAATGTAGCTAAATCGTCAGTGTAGTTCTTTTTGTAATAAACACTTCAGATCTTTATTTCATGGCAAGCATATTGTTACTATTAAGGAATTATGTAAAAATTAACATTAATAAAGCATACTGATAACTGGGAAGAGTAACTAAGAAACTATGTGTACTACTGCCTCAAGCCACCCTAGGCTGAGTAGTGTCTCCAAATCTCAAAAATTACACTACCAGAGTTAGTATTTTTACAAGATTTGTTAGCCGTAGATTATCTGGATAGAGTTAGAAGCCACTAAAAGAAGAGCTAGAAAAAAATGCTGTTGCATCTTATGTAACTCATCAAGCTCCACTTATCCCTATATCTCTTGACATGCAGAGCACTGGAAAAGGTAGATCCTTTGAGGAAAACTGAGAACTTATGCACATGGCATATGTACAGCAGATAAGCTGAAGAATTATATACTATTCTATTCAGAAGAGAAAAAAAATCCCAAAACATTGTAGTACCTAGGCAGATAAAGTAAATTTTACAACCATACATAACATATACGAATATATGATGCATTGAAAAATTAGTTGCAGGTGCTGACATTATGTTTGCAAGATAGAAAAGCTCAGTGGAAAATTCAGCTTCTAAGAGATGCAAACTAAGTAAAAAAAAAGAGAGATAAAGTGTAGTTAAAAAAAGAGTGCATTTCAGTTCTGATACTAAATGACAATACAAGCCTTTAGGATATTAAATGAGATGTTTAACAAACACAGCCTTTATTGGGGGTTTAGAACAAATTTATAGGAGGAGATGTTTATGGCCTGTAATGGCCATGGGAGCTGCCCCACACAGTTAGATGGAGAAGTCCACATGGAAAAGATGGTATTGCTAACCAAAATGTGTGGGGTTTGTGGTCTTTCTAAGACTTGATACAGCAACAGCTGTTTTAAGCAGGGGGCTGAGCAAATGCTCCCCCATCACATAACCAAAGCACAGGTTATGCTCATACTGTCACCAAAGCAACCTGATCAGGTCCAGAAATACCTCTGGTTCTCCAGTGATACCACCCAGGGTCTGGGTACCTAACACCTGCTCTCTAGGTGTTGTACATGCTAAGCTAGGCCTCCATGGCTAAATAGGCATGGAGTATATAACAGACTGTTTGATGTGACTTAAAAGAAAGGAAGTGGATGTATGCATCTTTTTTGAGTGACTCACTTATACAGCAAACTCTGGCTTAATGGAAGTGCTCCTTCTCATTCACCAAAGTAAGCTTTTGATTTCTTCATGTTAGTCAAGACTGACTTGCAATATAGTTATTTTTATCCCAGAATTCCTTAAAGATGTATTTTTAGTCTTTTATCAAAGCAGATGCAATAAGGAATCACAGAATTAATTAGGTTGAAAAAGACCTCTGAGATCTTTGAGTCCAACCTTTGAACACCACCATGTCAAGTAGATCATGGCACTAAATGTCATGTCCAGTCTTTTCTTAAACACCTCCAGGGACAGTGAGTCCACCACTTCTTTGGGCAGTCAATTCCAATGCTTAATCATCCTTTCTTTGGAGAAATTCCTCCTAATGTCCGACATGAACCTCCCCTGGAACAGCTTGAAACTGTGTCCTGTTGTTCTGAATGTAGTAGCCCACACTGGTATAGTTTGGTTTGCCAGATGTGTTACAAGCAACAATAATATACTTGCTAGTTAGCTCAAATCTTGGCATTTTGTCAAAGGACAATGTGCTCCAAGTACATGAATAAGTTTCATCTCTAGCCATGTTTAAATCTCAGAAATTATCACACATGAAGGGAAAGCAAGGAAATTGTCCATTTTGTTAAGGACATCTGGAAGGTATGTCATAAATACAGTAGGAAAAAGAAAATTTTCAGGAAAAATATCCTGATATCCTTGAGGATGGTATATTTAGTCTGTAGCACTACCACTATCTCCTTTCACCTAACCAATAGACCTCAATTATAAAGATGAAAGCATTTAGTATTCTCCTAGATCCCAGTTACATCTCTATTCTAACACAGTCTGTCCTCTGATGCTAGAAAAAAACCCCTTAAATTACCTTGTACTTGTGTGTAAAAGTTTCAACTTCCTTAAAACTTAAGCTTTGAGACACTTTGTGTCTCCTAAACACAAAGATATAGACAAAATAAGAGATTGTTTCAGAGATACTTACTAGACTTTCCTCACAGCAGCAGCTCTGCCGTTCCACCCACAACTATAAAAAGTGCTGAGACTCATGTCCTGATCACTCCTCTGAAAGAAAGGCAAATAAATAGCCACTAGTATTTGGTTTCTGACAAGGTAAACTGCTTACACATACATAGCAATCGGCCTCTTCTCATACTTCTGGGATTGACACAGATGGGGAGTTGAAGTGCTTTCAAACAGTAGCTTTATGCTCACGGACTCCTGTTTTTCAGACTCTATTTTCCCTCAAGAACAGGTATTTTTGAAATAACTTGCATATCTTCTACTTTAAAGAGAGTATCAAGAAAGCCTGTCATCAGTTTTCTGTGAGGACAGAGGGGAAGGGAATCTGATTGATCATACCAGATTATCAGCAGCTATCACACAATTCATGTGCTGGAAGGTATAAGGCTGGAAAGAAATTTGTGTTTATCTCAGAGCTCAGACTTGATTGCTTAATGATATGGCCACACTGATGTAGCTGCTGAATAGAAGACCATGATTTGGACTGTGCTTATTAGACTTGTAGATACGAGCACTTCAGGATAATGGGAGCAAACCCCTGCTTTCTGTACACCTACTTGTACACCACTTACAGAAGAGAAAGTTGACAGAGCAGCAAAAGCATATCTGTGTATATTATTCATGTACATTTATCTGTCAGCAGATAGAGTCAAAATCCTCTCAATAACTACTTTCAATATTGATTAAAACGGAGTGCATGTTTTACAATAACTGGAGACAGTATTGTATGCATCCGATAAGCAACGTTTGATAAGTCACTAATGAATTATCAGGTAAATTAGTCAAGTTTATTTAACAAAGAGCAAAATTTTGGCTTCCTTAAAGCGCATCACAGGAATTTTACTTCTAAACTGTAACTGCCATGGTACTGCAACTCTATATTGACAAGTTTCCTCATTTGGCTTCAGTAGACTGTATTTATTTGGTGTGCTAAAGGAGACTAACGGTTAAAGTACTCACGTCTCTTTGTGGCTGAGGGAAAGCATCAGAGCTCTATATTTCACAGATTTCTGGGAAGCTAATAAGATGTGTGGCCGAGGCTGTAAGCCAAGAAGTGAGCAAATGGCAGCAGAAAATCATTTCAAGTCACTTCAGGATCTTTGCTGAGTCATATCAGTTTCAGTGTCTGTGTGAGCAAGTCTGTGTGGACTCCACATCACACCCAAAACTACCAGAAGGGATTTTTGCCTGCCTTTAATATTTTTGTAGCTAAATTACAACATCTGCCTGAAAAAACACCACAACAAATTGAAAAATGCAGACTCAGATGGTGTGCCTGAACATCTCACATAGCCATAATCCAACAGATCTAAATCCAACTGACCTGCACCATCACTGAAAAGCAGTGTTCTCCTTATAGTCCATCTGGTAGATGGTGAAATTATCATCACTACAAAGAGAATCACTGTAGTATAAAATTTCTACTAATTCCTTTTCATTTTCTGATGGAGCAGCTGATGCATCTGTTATTCTCATCCATGCCTCACCTGTTTTAGGCCCAGTAGGTGGCTCAAGGCACTTCTCTTAAACAAGGTGGGTGGGCAGAGTGGCAGCTGATTTATTTATCAGATGAAGCACTGAGAGGCACTTTCACTGAGAGATAAAAGTTCTGGACCCCAATTTTCCTCCCTGTTCTCTTAATTGCTCCATGAAAGAAAAGAGACCATGCCTACCAAGCAGCAAATTGTAATAACCATGCTCAGCTCAACAGTGTTTATTGATAGATCTGGTCAAAAGGCAGAGCTAGCATTCATTTTGTTTCCCCTCTCTGCTTGTCTACTGCTGAGAGCCAGAGGAGAAATAGCACTTAATGATTGTCATAGTTTTAATCCAAACCCAAGCTAAAGGCTTAGGCAGCCCAACCAAACACAGTGCAAGCAAATCCTGCACCAATTCTGCATTGCTTTGTGGATATATGGAATAAACTCCTATACTGCATATTCCAGTCATCTATCCATGGGTAGATCATGTTAAAGATATATAGGCCCACTCTTATTCCTGTTTTCTGACTAGATACAGACAGAATGTGTCTTTGTGGAAATTGGTGTCGCTGCTTTACCTGTCATAGAGGATCTCAAAGAATTCACATGGAGAACAAAAGTGGCAGCTCTGTGTCATCTGTAAAAGAAATAAGACTTCTCACCTTAGCTCTGCTTGCTTCCAGTGGACCAGCATTCCCTCAGACTTATCTTTAGCCAGCTCTCAACTGTACTCACCTTAACCAGACAAACCTTTCAGTGGTGTGATCTGCACGTCAAAGCAGATCTGCAACCCACCTTTTTGCTGTAACCCTTTCAACAAATTCCAGTTTATACAGTTAATGGATGGACAGAACCAGCTCTGTCATTATGACAGAGCTGTGTTAAATGGGCATTTACGAATTCAGTTCTGTAGGACTTTTTATTTCACTGAATCTGTCTTTTTTAAACCAATATATCAAAAATTTATAATTGGAATATAAACCACTTTATGTGACCATAATTTCAACAAACCTTCAAAATAAGGTTTTGCTGATGGACAAGAGAAAGTCTGTCAGGGAGAAACAAACATATTCTCAAGCTCCCTGCTACCATTTGTATTGTCAGGGAGCATCCTCTATCCATATATCATAAAGACTTAGAACAATGTAGCCTAGGAGTTAGTGGTAAAATGATTTACAAATTCATCCTACTTGCTACAACAGTGTGCTTTGTTCAGTCTAGAGGCTTCTTCCATTTCCTTTAGAAGATCATTTGAACTAAAATAACTCCGAGTTAAAAAAATACTAGACTGTATGCTGCAGTTTATCCCATCTGTTTCTAATTTAATCATACTAATTAGCTGAGCTATCATAAATATATTCCCCTTCTGTCATCACTGCTCACATTCTCCGTATTTATCTGCAGATGCCACGAGCACTTATTTGTTCTTGCTACATGGTAAACATTGTTATGTCAGGAACCCTGCTGTGATAAAATTTCCCTAACAAACAGTCACCCTAAGGGAAAAAACCAGTGCCCACAGCTCGGTAACAAGTAGTAACAGGCTATCAGGTGGTGACAAAAGCTCCAAGATTTTACTTCTAACAGTTTGGCACACGTCAGCAGTTCAAAGCAAAGATTTCAAGAGCCTAGGACTAATCCTAACCATTTTTGAAATCTTCATCAGCATATTAGCCATGCAGTTTAACTCTGTGTTATCTATTGTATGTAGGGAAATTGTATGCCTTTTTTCCCAAGCAAATATAAGAGGTTTTGTGATTACAATTTTTGCAACCAGATAGAGATGAACAGTGCCTCTCACCTCTCAGGATCACAGATGGGAGTTGCAGTCAATCAGAAAGAAGGAAGAACAAGAGGACTCTCAAAATTTTGCCAGTTTTTTAAATATGTGGGAGAGAACAATTCAGTTCCATTGCATCTACGCAACCATATCTCATCCATATGATTTGTTTGGATGCAGCAGTCACAAAATTTAGCTTGAAAAACTTTGCAGGAGAACATTTAACTTCCATTTTCTGTTTCTCTGTTGATATTCCATAAACTCTAATCAGGTTGTGCTTTTTAAGGATGCCCATTATTATAGGCAGATAAATAAATAATAGAAATCAAATGTTCAATGTCAGATTTTGAGGTTATATGCAATCCAACTGTAATCCAGGTCATGGATTTAGAAGATACATTTTTCTTATGAAGAAATAGATTCTGCATAATTCAGAAGAGTTTTACACAGAACTGTATTCTCAGATGGATAAAGATGTGTAAATTCCTCAAAATCAAAGGGAACTGATACCCAGGAGGGCAAAGCAGACAAAACAGCCCATCAGCAACTCAGCCACATGAAAGACCACAAAGAAACTCCAAAGCCACCCACGCAGCTGCCTGAGGAATCTGTCAAGGAATGAGAGGCTCTTGTTCAGCTCATGTTGCTGCTGGAAATGTGTTTGAAGAGGTTGGCAATACATCTGTATTTTACAAGTGGCACACAAAGATGAGAAAAATGAAATCAGATCGAATTATGTGCTGCAGTACACCAGCGGTGTCACATCTCAGCTAACCAGTACATAATTTAATTTACAAGATAATGGAATGATCTGCATTTGTTACTGACAGAGAGGCAGCTGAAAAACATCCACAGGGTAAGTACAAACTTAACTAGATAGTCACCTAAAAGGCAAAGAAGATAATATCTTCAATTGTACTTATTTTTTAATAATATCTATTCTAGGTACCTAGAAAGCCTCTGTTTCTGAGAAATGACTATCAGGCCTTGAACATCAGGCATCTATAAAACCAGAATAGGAATGGTGAAGAATCAATCCCTTTGTTTCTACATCCATCAGAAACCACCAGTACTTAACTGGTAGAGTAACAGATTGTCACAGCTGTTGTATCACTTGTTATTGCTTTCTATCTGTTTGGTTTATAGAAAGCTGACAGAAATGCCCCACCTTACTGTCTTTCTCAAAATTCTGCTTTCCTCAGTATGGAAGAAAGAAAGACTACAAGAGACTTAAATTTTCAAAACATTTGCCAATAAGCATTCAAAACAACTCATGTTAAATTGTCTTCTCTACTACACCAACATATCTCAGCTAGCTGCACTGAAATGTGAAGAGAGATTTTGATGAGAAAATACTTATTTAAGACAAATTATTTTAGATGCCTTCAATTTGCTGCAGGGAGTAGAAGGGAGAATGAAGCAAAACCTGAAACACTGAAGGCATTTGTCTTCAACACTTGTTAAATGCTCCCTTGTTTTGTTCATGTTGTCAATCTGTAGTAAAATGAACAGGACCTTAAATACACATGGTGAAGACTGCGAGCTCCTTATTCAGTCTCTGTTTAATCTTCCACAACACTTTTTGTTTAAATTTGTGACTCACAGCAGTGGCTTCAGCCAAGCTTAGCACAGACAGACTTTGTGCCCACACAAATGCTGATGAGTCTATTCCCACTGTTGGCTTGTGAGATTCCCACTATCACTATCTTGAGCTTTTCTGAGGAGAGATTATTCTTTGCATAGG